TTTTTACTAATATAAGTCCTCATTTAATTATTGCTTTTTAAAAGAATTAAATTTGTTAACAGATTTGTAAATAGCTAAATATTTTATGATTGGAAGTTTGAATTCGTAACATAGATTGTTAGTGGCTGTATCCTCGAGGGGGTTAAAAGTACTGTAAAATTATTGTCCTCCTGAGGAGTACGTAGAATCCCAAAACATTCAAAGTAAATTTCAACTTTCCGTTTTTTAATCGTAGAATATTTGTAATTTTTAATGTATGGCTAGATATGTCTTAATTGCTAACGGCTGAGGGGATGATATAAATCAGCTAGGGGCCCATGCAGGAAACAAATGTACTGTAAGTCCCATGGTCCCTAGTATGGTGATCTACCTTCAGTTGTTAGCGATCTATAGCCCATTTTTAGATTGTGTTGTCCCCTATGGTTAAAATGTTTTAGATTCAATTACTAGTTTTACATATATATATCTGTGATACTCTAGTTGCTTTACTGTCCTTCGATGACAGGTTTTATAATATATACATATTCCATTACAATGTAAAATGTTCTCGTCACGATATGGCTGAAATATTGCCGATGTGACGTTAAATATTAACTCACTCACTCACTCACTCTAAAGTTTAACAGATCGAGAGCTAATGGATTGCCATATAAACAAAAGTATAATCAATTAAAAGAGGTAGAAGCATAATGCGTATAAATCCTTATTTTACAGATGGGTCCAAGGACGGTGGCGCAGTGGCGTGTGCCACTGTCATTGGATCAGAACAATATCTTCTAGAATACCGGATAACAGCTCTATACTTACAGCAGAAGCAAACGCCATCTTAACAGCTCTTAAATATATTCAAAGACATCCTAAACATAAACAATATATAATCTTTTCTGACTCTCTTTCTTGCCTTCAGGCTATTAAAAATCTATCTTTCAAACATCCACTTTTAATTGAAATAATCGAATTATATAATGATTTTGCTACTGGCCAATGCGACATCGTCTTTTGTTGGTTACCCAGCCACGTTGGTATTTCTGGGAACACAATGGCCGATCTTGCTGCCAAGGCAGCACTCAACAAATCTGTGACACCACTTCTTATCCCATACTCTGATTACAAAGCTAGCATTAGAACCTACATCCGTGATCTGATGCAGAAGAACTGGAACACCCAGGTAGGTATAAATAAATTACATGAAATAAAACCTTATATTGGTTACACATACTTGGGTTGTCAATCCAGATTTGAAGAGGTCATTATGCAACGATGTCGCATTGGCCACACTAGATATACTCACGAATATTTACTGAAAGACGAAGATCCTCCGTTTGCATCCCTTGTGATGAAAGAATCACAGTCAAGCATGTCCTGCTTGACTATGTTGAATATTCCATCACAAGGGATAAGTATTTTCAATGTCAAAACATTGAAGGATCTTTTTTATATTGTTAATTATCAGTTAATAGTTGAATTTTTAAAAGAATTAGATGTGTTGACTGATCTGTAAATAGCTAAATATTTTATTGTTGGTAGTTTATATTATCAACTCAGATTGTTAGTGGCTGTACCCTCAAAGGGGGTTGACGTAGCGTAAAATTATTGTCCTCCTGAGAGGGTACGTAAGTCCCCAAACTTTCAAAGTCAATTTAAACTTGCCAGGATTTTTAAACGTAGCATTCTTGTCATTTTAATTTTGGCTAAAATTTCTTCCAATCGCCAGCAGCTGAAGGGATGGTGTAAATCCAACTAGGGTCCATGCAGGTAGCCAAGGTACTGTAAGTCCCCATGGTCCCTGGTATGGTGATCTACCTTCTAGTGTTGGCGAACTATAGCTTGTTTTTATATGGTATTGTCCAAATAGTGCTATCAGTTTTAACTCTCCATACTAGTTCTAGTTGTAATTGTGATATTCTAGTTGTTTTACTGTCCTTTGTCGGCAGGTTTTCTAATCTCTATATATATTCTGTTTCAAATGTCAAGTTTTCTCGTCACGATATGGCTGAAATATTGCCGATGTGACGTTAAACAATAACTCACTCACTCACTCAATCCGTAGGTAATGTCAATGTTTTCCTGAACCAGTTTAGAGATCGCTGTATATGTATTTTTCAACAAGAATGGCACTCGAGGCTAGAAGAAAGCGCCCGTTTTGATTCTTACAGACAGTTTAAGTCCCTTTTAGAACCAGAAAGATATTTATCCCTTGCGACTACAAATAATCTGAGACTGCTACTTGTAATGTTTAGACTGGGGCTATTAGATTTACAAATAAATGAAGGAAGAAGACTATCCATTGATAGAAATTATAGATCATGTCTATTTTGTAAAAAAGGCATTGAAGACGAATTACATTTTCTTGTTGAATGTCCAGCCTATGATAAAATCCGTTCTGATTATCTCCGTAACTGTATTACAATCAGAAGTAATAATGCAGCATTTTACAAAATTGTTTCCTCATGCGATTATCCAGATTATCACTATATATCCATCATGCTATTATGTTAAGAAAACAATTGTTATCCTCCTGAATGAGAACCTTCTTTGTAACCGCTGTATATGGGCCGATGGCCTTATATACAAATAAACATATTTTGACCTTTGACCTAAGCTGTAGTCTACCTAGGAATAAATATTATACAACGTCAGGCCCCATAGTATCCGAATTATACAGAACGTCCATGCAGCCAACCCTTCCAAATATGTCCCCGATAGAACAGCTCAGCGATGTCATAGATTATCATGGATTATCACGACAACGACTACATCCTCCAGCCAACTTATAACATCTGATCTGGGGCCTTCACGGAGAATGGCGAATAAGCCCAAGTAACGTCATCAAACGGATGATATTTTTTCTGTGCCCCGGATAATGTTTTTCGTGTCTTGGAGTTCGGTTGTAATAGACGCTATCGATATGACATGTCATTGGACTTAAGCGATTTGAGAGGAGCGTGCCCAATGGCGTTGAAAGTTTGATTTACTTTCCTACCATTGTCCACTCAGTTGAAATTATTTAGCAACTTTAATTTATTGTTTATGTAAAACATTTCTCGTCACTATATGGCTGAAATATTGCCGAGGTGACGTTAAATTCTAACTCAATCACTCACTCACTCACTCACTCAGTTTGATTTCCTATCCTACCATTGTCCACTCAGTTGAAAGTTTGATTTACAAGCCATCCTCCGTTCAGGCACCATCCATGTCAATATCGGTTGCTGTATGACTGTAATGTTAAGTGTTGATTTTGTTGACATTTTCAATACATTTTACTTCATTCTTCTATCTTTTATGGCATGTCCTGCTTGACTGTGTTGAATTTTCCATCACAAGGGATATCTATTTCAAATCACAAACTACGAAGGATCTTTTTGGTAATATAAGTTCTCATTTAATTATTGCCTTTTTAAAATAATTGGACTTGTTAACTGATTTGTAAATAGATATATATTTTATTATTGGTAGTTTAGATTAGTAACTGGCATTGTTAGTGGCTGTACCCTCAAAGGGGGTTGAAGTAGCGTAAAATTATTGTCCTCCTGAGAGGGTACGTAAGTCCCAAAACTTTCAAAGTTAAATTGTTTCAACGTAGTATATTTGTTCCTTTACATTTCGGCTAAACTTGTCCTACAATCCCCAGCGGCTGAAGGGATGGTGTAAATCCAACTAGGGTCCAATGCAGGTAGGCACTGTAAGTCCTCATGGTCCCTAGTATGGTGATCTACCTTAAGTTGTTGGCGATCTATAGCCCATTTTTACATTGTATTGTCCAGAAATAATGTTCTACCTTTAAATATATATGCTAGCTAGTTTTAACTCAATCTGTGATAATCTAGTGGTTTTACTGTCCTTCGTTGACAGGGTTGTATATGTTATATGTATGTATTATGAATTAAGAACTAGTTTTAGTCAAGATATGGCTGAAATACTGCCGATGTGACTTTAAATCTTCACTCACTCACTCACTCTATCTATCTTTTATGTTTTCTAAAAGTTTGGTTAAAAAATATCCCCACGTGTCCTCTGGCCGTCATTTTAGAAAATTTTATTGTGGAACCCAATAAATTCGAAATGATACAATTAATCATTGTAACTAAAGGAATTGTCGTTGTTTGTAACTTTCTATACAACCAAATAAACGATAACACATTATCATTCAATACTCGATGGCCATTCTCCGACTGGTTTGACTTACAAAGTAAACACAGTTTCTTTTTGGTTCCAATGATAACACGTCACATTCAATTTGAGTGTCAATAGACTTATATCTCTTTCAGTTGAAAGTAATTCAGTTTTGAAACTGGTTACAAACTTTTTTAATGTCGTACCTATAGGCTGCCAATACCACCATTCGTTTCGGATATAAAGTAATCTTTCTCCAAAGATATACATAAACTGATATTTTCACACCTTGTTCAGCCACATTTCATAAAGTCATATGTACAAGGAAGTTATTTAACATGTGAAACCTTTCCACACTTACCATAACAGTGCAACCTGTATAGCTTTTCTTTACATTTGTGGAGCCTGGGAACCTAAGCCAAAACTTTATCACCCTGTTCGATGTACTTACATCCAGCGGTAATCTCCCACAGTAACCCATGACATGTTCACCTGGTTCTACAGACCAAACAGATAGTCAGAAAATTCCACAACATCTTTAGTGTACAGCAGCACTAAATATAACCAGAGTAAATCCGGCATCAATTAGATACCATGTGTATCTTACTTCATATTTTTATCTAGCTCATTGATTTACAGCGAAAATCCATGGTTCCACTCAACAAACACGTGACATAGTGTGTTAAGCCGTCAGAAAATGGAAATATTTTTGCTGTACATTATTTTTTCTGGCACAAGTGTGCAAGATTTCCCAGAGACAGATACCTGTAATTACTTGAGTCACTCTATACTGATTTTGAAAACAGGGATGATAATAGACTTTGACCATGCGTTATCCCTGTGTTGACTTTCTTAGAGTGAATTGTTCTCCATATCGTACTCAGTGTGTGCCCCTGGACAGTACGGTGCCAACTGTGCCAAAGACTGCAGCTCCCGACATTGTAAGACGTCTTCCTCGACATGTGACCGAATCAGTGGAGCCTGTCCAACTGGTGGATGTGATGCTGGATGGATGGGGACAGACTGTACTACAGGTAATGCGTTGACATTTCATGACTGCTACAGACCAGACAGATTGACTGAAAATTCCACAACATCATTAGTGCACAGCAGCACTAAATATAACCAAAGTAAATCCAGCATCAATTAGATACCATGTGTATTGAGTTTGAAAACGGGGATGATAATAGACTTTGACCATGCGTTATCCTTGTGTTGACTTTCTCAGAGTGAATTGTTCTCCATATCGTACTCAGTGTGTGCCCCTGGACAGTACGGTGCCAACTGTGCCAAAGACTGCAGCTCCCGACATTGTAAGACGTCTTCCTCGACATGTGACCGAATCAGTGGAGCCTGTCCGACTGGTGGATGTGATGCTGGATGGATGGGGACAGACTGTACCACAGGTAATGCGTTGACATTTGATGACTACTATCACAGCTATAGTCTCGGGTCAGTGAGTAGCCTTCAAATAGTTGCTTTTTTCGCTGAACAGTCGGATTCGATTCCCAAAAGGAGTTATTGCTTAGCCTGTCATTCTACCGTTATACCATCGACGAAATTATGCCCGTGGATAACACCAATAACAATTTCAGCAGTGTTTAGACTGAGAAATGCGACTGGAATGAATAGCACATCAGCAGAGATGTTTATACCACCATGACAATCTGTCTCTTGCCAAAATACATCAATTTGTGACGAATTTTACAGAGCTTCCTTGGTTGAACAATATTATAACTTACACATTCTACTGCTATGGTCAACGTGAACATGTGTACTCTCTATGATTGTCGGGTTTTTATATCAAACAATCCGAACTTAGTTTATGTGTATCTTCCAGAATGAGTGGCAATTCATGTAATGTACACAAAATATGTTATAATATCAACCATCGTGGTTCATAATTGGCTCTTTGTTTGTTTGCTAGTTTGTTGTTCAACGTCGCGCTCAGCAGTATTCCAGCTATATGGCGGTGGGTTGTAAATAATCGAGTTTGGACCAGACCATCCAGTGATCAACGGCATAAGCTCTCGCAATTGGGATACAATGACATGTGTCAACCAAGTCTGGCCACCTGATCTTGTTAGTTGCCTCGACAAGCATGGGTTTCTCAAAACAAATTCTAGTCCGGATCATCACGATTTTACAAATTACTTTCACGCTTACACCAGCTCCAGCTTTATTTCAGCGTGTACCAATCTGATGTACGGCCCTAACTGTGTCAGTTCCTGCAGTGCCCGACATTGTAAAACAAAGTCATCTACATGTGACGGAGTGTCAGGAGAGTGTCTTGGTGGCTGCGAAGATGGGTGGACAGAAATAGACTGCTCCAGTAGTAAGTTACACAGCGCCATTGGTTTGCCATTGGTTAGTATTTCCTGTTGATTATGTGACGTAATGGTTAAACCAAATAGATGACTGAACGAAAACTGAATTTGAACTTATTCAAGGAAATTATATAGTATTCACCTTTTTAAAATGGACTGCATGTTTTGTTGATTGTTGATAACTTATTGTTAACATTGCACACACCTTTAGGAGATGTATGTCATGATGATGCCTAATCTACTAAACTGCAAGTTAGATGTGTACATGTTTAGTGTGTTCTTCCCGACAGGCTCTCATACTATTCACACTTGCTTATCGGGTGTGAGTGACCGTTGCAGCAAGCGTGTATGTCCTGAATTGGACTGCCTACGGGTACCACCGACGTGGTTTCATGATTAACAATGAATAGTGACGTATAATTTGAAAGCACATCAAGACATTCTTTGGTATGGTGATCTACCTTCAGTTGTCGGTGATCTATAGCCTATTTTTATATTGTGTTGTCTTCTATAGTTGAAATTATTTGGATTTAATTATTAGTTTTACATTTATATCTGTGCTATTCTAGTTGTTTTACTGTCCTTTGTCGACAGCCATATAAATTGATGACCTTGTTTTCATCGCTATATGGCTGTAATATTGCCGATGCGATGTAAAAGTTTAACTCACTCAAGACATTCTTAAGCCTGTAGTTCTATTTGGTCTTCAATAATATATTACTATAATCAAACTTCAATGTTGTTGCTCTTTAGAGTGCCATGCTGGCTATTATGGCCAAAACTGCCACCTGAAATGTGATGATAGACATTGTACCAGTGCATCCTGTACTGGCGATGGAGCATGTAGTGCTGAATGTGAGCCGGGCTGGACTCTCCGGGACTGCACACAAGGTAACACTTTGTTTTCAATCAAATGACTTGTATACACGCACGAAATACTTTTACCATATGCCACATGTCTGTCACACCACCATATAGCTAAGATATTGCTAAGTGCGACCATAAAGAACAAACGAACGCAATCTGTCGAACACAAGGAAACTGACACAGACGTGGACAACGTCATATTTTAACGTGTTGTTCAACGCCGCCATCAGCAATTTTACATCATAAATTAATGTTTCTATCTGAAACGTAAATCACCATAAACACCTGACCAGTTTGCAATCTTATACTAAGGGTGGATTAGTGTTGATGTGTGTGGTTTTTTTTTTAAATTCTAAAGATGTTCTGTTCCACAGAGTGCCCCAGTGGAACATATGGCATCATCTGTAACAAAACCTGTGGCCAGTGTGCTAACGACGACACATGCCATCATGTTACTGGGATCTGTGCTGATGGATGTGAGGCAGGGTGGCAAGGTGACCTGTGTCAGAAAGGTATATGGAACCACAGCGGAACGTATATCAATCATATTGTCTTTTTTACCGAAAACAACGTTATTCAAGGATACCGCAAACTGCCTCAGGGAAAATCATTACATGTTAGATCAGTATCTCAGAGCAATATTAACAGCCAAGCTGTCCAAGCTGTGATACATTAATCCAGCTGTCTATCTTCTTCTTAGGTTGTGGCAAAGGCACATTCGGGTCCAACTGTGAGAGTCGCTGCGGCAACTGTAACGGGACATGTAATGTTGTTGATGGAAGATGCCTCTGGGGTTGTACCGAGGGATACAATGGTCCTCGCTGCTCTGTGGAGCTTCGTAAGTACACCTCATATAGCTCCTTAGAAATGACTTTAACCTCACAGATCAGCTGCTAGTATGCGAAATGGTTTATATTCTATACTTTATACTTTTCTATGTTATAAATACTACGATGACATATTGGCGTTTTAAAAGGTTGTCGGCAGTATATTCACATGTTTATTACAATCAAACATGAAAATCAACCCGTGTTTCACCCTTCATTGTCGTAAGACATTTCACCTCACTGTATCAAAAAGGACTATTGCATGTTTGAATATGGAGTTTGGAACATGTAATATATGTGCACATGTGTCGTGTTTTTAATTCTAAAGTATGTGAAAACTGACTAATTACTATGAATGTTAACCTCTGTAATAACTTATGTTATTACCCACGTGGTCAACGTATGGGTAGTTGTATACTAATCTCGTACGTCACACGAGTGTCGTATCGCGTTGACCTGTGTCGTAACGACTTGACCTGAGATTCTAACGATTTTATTGGATGACCTCTCAGTTAGGTCACGTGACGGAACTACTTGTTCATTCATAACAAACAAGTGAATTCATTCATTCTACAACTTAGATGCATTGTGGGAATGTAAACATTGCGAACGTTGCCGTGTCGCTGTTTAATTGTGAGTCGAACTGAGACATTATATCCATCGAAAAACATAAACGCAATATTTCCACCAGTGATGTTAGCCGAGTGAAGCAGTTGCAAACCAAGAAACGGGGTGCTACGGAGTAGTTTACTGTACGAGGCTGTACGAGGCGATGACAACTGACATGCATCGTGACGTCGGTTACCAAGGAGACAGACGAGAATGGCGTAGTGACGTCAATACAGCGTGAACGTCATGCAAAAGTGTAGGTCAGAACAAAATTCTTCTGCAGCCTCCTTATGGAACCGGTTTCGGTTTGAAAGCACAACAATACCAAAACTACGCTATTTTGTCAATTTAATGCATGTAAGACGTGGGTAATAAATAAAATACCACACTCGGTCTCATTACATACGAACTATACGAAACTCGTGACCTTCCTATGGTTTCTGACCTCCCTTTCGCTCGGTCAGATACGATAGGAAGCACACTCGTTTCGTATAATTCGTATGTAATGAGACCTCGTGTAGTATTCTCTATGTGCGCGTTCTTTGGGCTGTAACGCTTGACGTTATGTCATGAAAAATGTTTGGGGTCAGTTATCGCGTGACATTTGACCACAAGAAGACACAATAAAACACTTATCCTTCTTTCTCTTCTCAACTGACCACACCGAAGTCAGAAAAACAACCATTTTATTAGTGACGACAAAGTGAGACAAAGTGTATTCTGTACTGTGAAATATGCTTTCCAATAGTGCCATTTTTTGAAAAAACGGAAAGGAGTCGCCTTCCTTATGATTGTTTATGCTACCGTTTGCATGACCCTTGAGGTCTTAAAACGAACGGGTCTTCTGTTCCCTTAGGCGCTTGTTAGTGCAAAATGTCCTTGTTGCTTGGACCAGGATAGTTCTCAGGTGATTTCATGATTTGCGTCAAATTAGTGCAGCAACATTCTGTACAACACGGCAGCCAGATTTACGAGAATATATGCGAGGATCACACTGTGTCTACCCACCATGGGAAGCAGCCATATTCAGAAAACAGACGTCGGTGGTTTTAAGCATGTGATCAGAAATTGCCTGGTTTAGGGACCAGTCCGGAAGTAACCTGCATGAAACTTATGGACGAGTCACGGTGTTCTACGTTGCCGTGAACGTTTGCAACAAACTGCATATAGGAGGTGGACAGACGTTAGCGGAAGCCTATTTTCGCAGACGGAAATCTCAGAGACATGTATAACAGGTTTGATGCAAACGCAAGTATTCCAGTACATGGCTATTGTCTGAAATCATGCAACTAAACGGTTTTGTTTTCAGTGTGAACAATAGTGACATACACGTGTACATATTCCACAAAGTAAGAACCATACGTTCAGTTTGTGTATGGTCTTGTCAAAGAGACTTGATATAACAGTCATAATTAAAACATATGTTCCAGACTTCATCTCATTTCTACCATGTAATGACGTAGGTCCTTACTTGCAAGCCTGGAAGTAATGACTGCAGTCGTTGTGGACCTATCTTTCCTCATACAATGAAATGTCCAGGAGAATAGTTTCACTGGTGACCGTGTGAAAGATGTCAGATTCTAACTCGAACAAACACTGTTTATACTGACGATGCTATATATCGTATGCATTGTCACATGCAGACTTTATATCCACGATGCTACAATAAATGCAAAGTATCACGGTAAGTGAATGTATGTCTTCATTATTGCAGCAGCTCTCTGTGTTGCCAAAATTGGCGTCATTGGAAGGAGCTATAGGAATGGCTATAGGAATGGCGGTCATGCTGCTGCTGGTTGTTGTTCTGTTCATGTGTCTGCTGAAACATGGAAGGTAACCTTGTATAACGTCTTCTATGATTACAAGATTGATACTGCTGCTTGATAAGGCCAACATCTAGAACATTTCAACCATACCTCTCTGTTTCAGACTGAAATGGATTCCCTCAAATGGAGCAGATCCAAAAGAAGGAAGAAAGACAGGTTACACTGAGGAAATTCCTACTCACACGCCAACTCCTGGCGTGGGGGATCCAGACTATACTGAACTGAATGATGTCACCAGGGAGAGAGAGGAGAAGTCACAGTACGATGTCATTCAGAACCAAGTGTATGAAAATTATCAAATCTGAGAAAGGTTATGTGTATTGTATGGGCTAGGTTTTGTGCCGAATCTGTATATGTGATAGATAAATCTTTTTATGCTTGGTATTTTAGATAAACAAATGATATTGTCAGTGGATGTATCCTGAAAGGGGATTAAAGTACTGTAAAATCATTGTCCTGCTGCGAGGATACGGAAGTCCGAAAACAATTCAAGTAAATTTAAACTTACTATTGTTTTATAACTGCAATATATATGTTATTTTAATGTTATGGCTAGCTTGTCAAAAATTGCTGACAGCTGAAGGGATGGTGTAAATCCAGCTGGGGTCTATGTAGGTAGCAAAAGTAATGTAAGTCCCCATGGTCCCTAGTATGGTGATCTACCTTCGGATGTTGGCAACCCATAGCCTGTTTTTATATTGTATTGTCATGTATAGTTAAAATGGTTTAGATTATATTATTAGTTTTACATTTAAATATGTGATATTCTAGTTGTTTTACTGTCATTCGTTGGCAGGTTTTTATACTTTCCCTATAATTATTATTAATATATAACTTGATATAGTCACGATATGGCTGAAATACTGCCAATGTGACTTAACATCTTAACTCACTCACTCACTGTATATGTCACATACTGATGGCTTCAGAGGTATCCATTTATACACATATGTCTTGCCAAAGTTCTAATTTCAAAATGAGACACTCACAAACCAATCTGACACTTGAGGGAAATCAAATGTGAAGAACGGAGGTGCATGTAAAAGTAAAGATCAGTTCCCTCATACTCAGCTTATATATATGTCTGGATCGTGTATTCAACTGAAGAGATATTTATAACCTTTTACTATACATGTAACAAGTACTGAACGAAATAAGCGCTTGGTTAGAACTGCATTTGACACATTTTAGCAATTGGTGATTAAAATGGTGACGGAGACAATTTATCAAAATGACAGTGTCACTGAAAACATATCGATTATTAAATATACTCGGTTAGATGTAAAACGCACTTAGAATGATTTAACGGATTAGGAATTGGTATCACATCAACACTGTTACTATATTACGTACACTGTCTCGATGTCACCAGTAGTGGGTAGATATTGATACTGGGATGGAAATAGAATTTGTTTAAACAAACGTGTCCACAAAACTGTCCTAATTTGCTTGCTTGAAGGCTTAATAAAATCCAGCTTCAAATTCTTCTCTGTGTTGTTTCTTCATTTAGAATTGTCCTTAGTCACAGTTAAGCCATCCAACAAGGACACGTTATCTCTTTCCCACTTCAAGCTAAGACAAGGACTAGTGTAATGGAATGTGGTGTGACTTCAACCTATGGCAACATGTGGAGATTGTTCACTGCAATCTGATTGCGAAATCAAACATCCTACGCTACATTCCTACACTATGTGACACTGTTATTTATTGTGTAACAGTGCTCAAACTATAATACATTGTGTACGTGTAACGTTAAATATAAACTCACTCACTCTCTGTGAACGTGTATAGTCCGAGAGGGACAGAAATGTTTTGGGTATATAAGGGGATCGATACTGGCGTAAGATGTAACCAGTGGAAGGGAATTAGTGGTTTGAGGGTTATTAGACGATACCAGTTCATCAATATACCAGAAGCAAAATTTCATTTACTGAATATATCTATCTATTTATCTATCTATCTATCTATCTATCTATCTATCTATCTATTTTTTTTAAGTAACCCTGATACTTTGAAATGTTTTCAATAGGTTTTGAACAAGCACAAAAATAAAATGTCATATTGCCATGTAAGGAGATGTTAGAAGGAAGTTCTACGCAGTTGAAATTATTATCAGATGTGAGCATATTTTGCGTTTCTGAAAATGTTTCTAGGGTAGGACTAATCAGGTTCCATAGACCATAGCTTTGCACCGAGTTACATGTTTTCATGTGCTTGTGTGTGTGTGTTTCTATTATCTGGTAGCTGGTTGGTTCAAGCAGCGTGTACATAACACCACCATGTAACCCACAGCGACTTAATATTGTAGTTTAACCCCACAAGACCGTGTGCTATTTCATTGTTTGGGGATTTGGATAACATATGGTAGTGTGTTATAATCTTATGACCTTATGCATGTCTGTTTGCTGAGATAAGTTAAACCTTCATTGAAATAAACCCGTGAAGATCTGAGTTAGAATGGATTATTTACAGACCGCCGTCAAATGGCTGGAATATTGCTGAGTGCGGCGTAAAACAACAAACAATCCATCCATCCAAAGATCATAACTCTGACTTTCAGACTATTACTGCATCGTATTGCTTGTCTTTGATTTAGTGTAGTCTCACATTTGTCCAAACGAAACTGCATGCATTGGTTTTGATAATCATCTCTTGATAAGCATATTTTCAACTCTTGAATCCTTAATGTTAAAATACGGATACATACTGACCAGTAAGAGTTCACTTTGAGACAGCCCGGGATTCGATATTTCCAAGTTCGAGAAAACGGGTTAGACTGTAAAGTCAGTGTGGTCACAAGACGAAAGGCAATCAAGTGATTGACGTCATGAGCATCGACCTGTACAATCATCTCAGCCCGTCGCCTTTTATGACACGTGTGGGTTACTGAAGATCAATTCTTCACGGCTCGGCGTGCATCAGCATCTGTTGACATGGGTCATGTACACATTATCACGACTCCATGCAACATCTATCCTGGTGAAGTAGATATAACCTACCCGTGTTCCTGGCGACGCCTTACCTGTAAATTCAAACTTTGCTGTGCATGCTTGGCTTCACCTGACACAAGCGTATCAATGGGTTTGTTAACAATAATAGTTGCAACTAGTGGTAGCGTTCATTATTATAGACCAATAAAACAGCAATACAGAACGTCAATGTTATGTGAGAAGCATGTTGTCATGAAATCTCACTGGAATGACCTTGTCCCTTGTAACCCATTAAATTCACTGTATGGTTGTGTACACAGTTGAACAGGTTCGAAATCTTATCCCCTTTTTTGTCTGTGCGGCAGTGTGTCGTAATGGCTGTCAGAGACGGTTTTGTGATTTTGCTTGCCAGTTTCAGCCTCGTAACAGGTGAGTATTTTCTTAGTATATGTGTCAGTGCTAACTCAGGGTATCATGGATCTGTTAGTGTTTCTAAACTGTGTGGGTACCTGACGTTACTCACGAGTACCCTACACAGAGCGGTACAGACAACATTGGTGTTGATGAATCGTTACCTGACTGTTACTGTGTATCATGCTGGGAGATCATAGTACTGAACTAACCCTTCCACGACTCAGCATTAGAAAGATTTCTCACTTTAGCCATAACACAAGTCGTGTCTGTGTTCATTTGTCAGCTGTCGGTCACTGTGTTGACATGAAGCGTGTCCCCACCCGATATTACTTCCTGTTTGACTACATCACCAGCCTTGTTATTGTGTCGATGGTAGGCCTGATAGAAAACCCGAGTAGTAAACAGCGATGAAGAAAGAGAGAGCTGGAAGCATTGCCATGATGTCACTTTGGTTTTTATATGACTTAGACCCAGGAACCAATATGTACCGGCTGCAAGGCTGTGATACTGTGTTCCCATAACGTTTGTTCATAGACCCGAGTGTGAAGGCTGTGATACCGTGTCCCCATATAGTCGCTGGTTCATAAACCCGAAGTTCTGACGGTTACGCTGGTTCATAAACCCGAACGTGAAGGCTGTAATAGTGTGTCCCTACTACGTTTACGTAAAAGAACATTTCACTCATGGGTAGCCTACACAAGTATGAGCCAGCGGAGAGATGAAAGGGCAATACGATAAACTTTCACAGGTATACACGACAGATAAACTTCAAAGTTTGCCTCGTGTTTTATTGAACGGTTCAAAATTAGTTTACAAAGTTAGTTTATTATACCTATAGAGACCTTGCAACCAGCGCTGCTTATCTATATCTATACACTCTAGTCTGCTCTAGTCTGCTGTATAGGACCACCATACAGCAGAGGCAGACCACTGATATATATAAACTAGTCGTGTCTATTCACTGCCACAGGCTAATTTGCGCAACTATTCTTCTACAACTGCGACAGTAAGGTTTATGACAATACATGTTTATACATCAAAGTGGCTGAATCGTTTGCTCTTCATCGGGCTTCGATAACAGCACGTATGTGGAGCCATACAACCTATGTAAACAAAGGGTTGCTACGCACATCGAAATAGTGTCACACGTTTAATGATATTTGCTCAGTAAAAGTAAACAACTCTGAAAGATGTTTGGACGTATGGACATCGTCAAATATATATTCAGAAATATGCACATGGGAGAGCATCGTCACAAAATCACCTCAATGAAAGGGTGATTGGAGTTTCGATTCATATATAAATGTGGTACGTTCAAAAAGCTATGTGTGACTTAAAATTATACTCACTCACCCACTGAAAAAGCTATGCATACCGGCTGCGACACTATTCCTCCATAACGTCTGTTCATAATCCCGTCTGTAGAGGTTGTCACAGTGTGTGCCATAACGTTGGTTAAAAACCCGTTTGTGATGGATGTGATACTGTGACCAAATACGTTTAGGTAACATAATGTTTCACTTATGGATGTCCTACGCCAGACCTAAGTGTTTCCAAACCTGGAAACTGCTACTCCGATTCTTCCTTATTTAAGTGAGAGTGATAATAGTGAGTGAGTTAAGACTTTAAGTCGCATCGGCAATATTAATGTTATCATGACTACAAACAGTTATGCTTTTACAACAAATAAAGGTAAATTATACAAAAATGTCAGCCAAGAGACAGTAAAGAAACTAGTTTATCATAGATTTCAATTTAAAACTAATAACTAACAGTGAGTGAGTGAGTGAAGATTTAAACTCACATAGGCAATATTTCAGCCATATCGTAACTAAAACAAATTCTATATTCATGATAAATATACATGATTTATAAAAAAAAAACTGTCAACGAAGGACAGTAAATTAATACATTATCACAAAATGAGTTAAAACTAGTTAACATATATCTTTAAAAGTAAACAACTATTTTGGACAATAAAATGTAAATATGGGCTATGTATCGCCAACAACTGAAGGTAGATCACCCTACCATGGAAATTTACAGTACTTTTGCTACCTGCATGGACCCTAGCTGGACTTACACCATCCCCTCAGCTGTTAGCAATTTAGACAAATCTAGCCATAAGTTAAAATCACACATATTCTAAGAGTAAACAAAGAGTGGAGAGATTAAATTGACTTTGAATATTTTGGGACTTACTTATCCTCTCAGGAGGACAAGAAAGTGATAATAATGACACCTTGTATCACATGATAGATTACATGCTATCGAATGCAAGAAACGGGAGAAATGTAAGACAAATTTCAGTGTTATTCACATTATTTGTAAAACGATTATATTCATAAATACTGAAGATGTGATTTTAGCTTGATAACATTCAGCAAATTAGCTGGATGGGAAACTGTAAAACTAACACTTTAGAGTATTTAAAGTCTCTGTCGACATATTTACGCTCTACACGTTCTGCATCCCGTTTATAACTTCAGAGCATCATGGATACTTGTTTGTTTTTCGATAAAACAAAAATAAACATATGCCTGGTTCAAACCCTCAACTGTCATAACTACATTGAACGACACTACCAGCGACTCTGAATCAAAACCCAGCGCATGGTAAACTTTAGCGTGTTTGTACATTCTGTTTTGTGTATTGTACCATTTTTAGCAGCTATACCCAGTTTGACAGCTATTTATCATAATGCATAGAGTATATGTCAAACATTATATCATGTGTACACATTGTTGAGTGTGTGGACATCACAAACAACTTCATGCAGAAAGGCATTCGGACACTGTCGGAACCTACTTCACACTGTATTGAGATATACCAGGCATGTTCAGATCACCAGGCGATACTCAAAAGGCAGGTCGTTGTAACACACTCCAGTTGGTTCCTTTGTGTGTGGCCCTGGGAGATATACATTACCCCAGGTATGTAAATGCCTTAAGCTAGTCATATTCTTCCTAGTGGTGGGTATCAGGGTGGTATGTTGAAATGGTTGAGAAGAGCCGTGTCACAAACTACTTGTGTTCAGCCCTCGTACACCGCTCTCGTGGGAGCTTGACATGAATAATTGACAGTGTATATCTAACCATTGCAAAGAACTGAAATGAGAGATTTTCATGATGAGCCGGTTTAGTTGGTTTTACATGACCACATGCCATGTTTGATAATACGTTCTATATTTGTTTACCGACCCACTCAGCTATATCCATACTAAACAGTCCCCTTTGATTAATCGAGAATGGACCACAATACAGAAATCGGTATTGTGAGAACTACGCCTGTAGTCATCAAAATAATCCAGCCTGACCTCCCTATTTGACTGGCTGGTCAATCCATAACTGGAATTTCCACGAGGATGTATAAACTGTCGGTTATTACTTGTCGACTGTTGGGTATCTATGTTACAGATGGAGTAGATGATATCGCATTGTTTGCAGACGATGTAACATTCGGAGACAATGAATACAGAACTACTAAACCACTAAAGAAATCTTATGTCGTGCATTTTAAATGTGCCTGCTGTGTATTGCAATTTTTGTGTATCAAAGTTTCAATCCTGGAGTTTTTGATATAATATACTTGTATTATACAGCCTCTGTCGTAGACGGCCGTGCATGTTCGCGAGATCTTTCTTACGTTTTTCATAATTGCTCAGAATATAATTATTTATAATCACATACACGTCGTGTGTGCAAAAAGTGTGTAGATTGTAGTTATGAAATCCATGAAATGTTTCAACGTTAAATTTAACAGTTATATTTGATCGAGGATTAGGCTTGAGTAATGGTTTGGGGAGCTTTCTGTGGGAACGTGCGCTCACGCCTTTTCGAAATTAGCAGGAGCCTCAGTGCAGCGGGATGGTGTCCCAGAGATAGGGCCCTTCATGGTTCCTCATTGTCCATGATTCCAGTTCCAACAGGACAATGCGACACCACAACAGCTGTTTTGACACGGACGTTCTGCCAAATGCGCGTATTGACACCGTGGAGTGGCCATGCTCTTGGAAGAGTTGAGTTGAGTTGAGTTGAGCTTTACGTCACATCGGCATTTTTCCAGCCATATAGTGACGAGAACAAGTTTGCATTAGTAAATATTGTAAGTACATACTCGGAATGAGTTTTATTTCAAAGACATTTATTGATTACATTGTCATTCAAAATCAGAAAAAGTCATAGCATCAAATTTAAAGGGAGGCGGTTTGTTACATTTCATAGTTACAATTTATGGTTGTTACATTTCACAGTTACAATTTATGATACAGATCAACTTCCCTCAGGTAGTTCAGTATCAGATGGGCGCTCACGCGTGAGAACAGATCTTTCAGGTTTGTTGCATCATAATGTGAGTCCCTTGCAGGCGATAAGTCCACGCATTCAAGCAGAATATGCTTGACGGTGAACACCTCATCGCAAGAGACACACATGGGGGGTCCATCCCCATCCGTTTTCAGCAGATAGTCATGTGTAAATCGACTGTGGCCAATACGACATCGTCGTAAAATTACCTCATCGCGTCTTGACTGACAACCCAAGTAGGTATAACCGATTGTTGGCTTCAATTCATGGAGTTTGTTTCTTCCTACTTGAGTGTCCCACCTTTTGTGCATCAGGTCCCGAGTATAGCTTTTGATAGTGGGTTTGAAGTCACTGTACGGGATTAGCAGTGGAGATAGGGGCTTTTCGAGAGCTGCTTTTGCTGCAGCATCAGCCTTAGTGTTACCTGCCGATGTGACCCGGCAACCAGCAGAGGATGATGTCATATTGGCCAGTAGAAAGGTCGTTGTATAGTTCTAATATATCCAGGATGAATGGGTGACTTGAAGTCACGTTTAGAAGTGCTTGAAGGCAGGATAATGAATCTGTATATACGATGAAGTTTTTGGACTGATTTTGCTGTTGAATGTAGGTAAAAGCTGAGAAGATAGCTTTGGCTTCAGCGGTGAAAATAGTACTGTTGTCGGGGATCCTAGAGGAGACAGTCTTGGCTCCAATCACTGTAGCGCTGGC